CCTAACCTGGGTTATTCAGCAGTTCCCGAAATTATGTTATAGTATTATGGTACCCTTTAAATTTTTAACTGAAGCGTAAAAAAAGGACAGTAATTTGTCCCACTCGAAGTAAAATAAAACCGTAACATGTCCCATGAAAAGGACAGTAATTTGTCCCACTCGAAGTAAACTAAAACCGTAATATGTCCCATGAAAAATGAGTATTTGCCAAGTTCCTTTACTGCTGGATATTGTTCCATGTTTGTGAAATGTCAAGATTCGTACTCATTCCAAATTTGAAGGTATTTTAAAATATTTTGATACTGTTGGAAAGTTGTTTTATACATTAGAAAGAATGATGTGAATTATTAATATATAAGAAACATGGAACGCAAACAGGAGCGTATTCATGATTGTTTATTTGTTTGTATCTAAGAAACTTAAAAAAAGCAGGACTAACTAATCGGGCCCAATTTTTTTGTGGCAACTCAAATGGCCCTAGGGAAACAAGGCTGGTCATAGTTATGATTACCATTTTAAATGTTAAATAAATAGATTAAATGCATTGCATGATATATACTCCTGTACTTTTTAAACTTATGTTAATTAGGTCTTGAAGGGGGGGAGGTAACCTTTAGATTTAATATTTGCTTAAAGTTTCGTGCTTGCAAAACAGGTTTAATTTAATTAATAATTTTAAGAAAACAAACGAAGTTATTAATTTCTGCAAACTTGAGAAAATGGTAAAGTTCATGAAGATTTATTTTATTTGTTTTTCTTGAATGCAAAATGCAAATCTAATGCAAGTCAAGTTGCTAAACCTTAAAACTTTTGCAATAATCAATCTTTCTAAAGAAAATGGATTTGTAATATCTTTTATTTAAAATTAAATTCTTACAATTATCGAGTCTATTAAAGGGATTTTCTGCGTATTTTTAAGTAACCCTCAATTAAAGTGTTACATGTCCAATTCGTGACGTTACCCTGAAGTTACACCTTGATATGATCAACAATGGGATAGATATAGTCGTTTTCCATCTTAAAATGTGGTCAATTTTGTTAATTTTCTTCATAGCCTCAAGTCACTTTTGTAGAGTAACCACAATCGAAAATAAACAATTTTCAGAAAAGAAATTATGCCAACGACGGTTTCTTTTTGTAATCCAAACTTGTTCATGAAAGTATCCCCGTCCGTTCCAAGACCGGGGTTTTATTGGTTCAAGGCCAATGTTTGAAGCTGATTATCTTAGTTGGTGTAAGGACTAGAATATTATCACTATCCCTGCTGCTGGGTATTTGAAAACCTGGAGACACAGGGGGGGGGGAAGGGGCAATTCGACACCCCCCTCCAAATCCCTTGTTTGATGTCCAAATATACAAAAATATTACATCATTGGAAAGCTCTTATGCTCTTCTTTTAGAATCTGCAAAAAATTCCAAATTTGAAAAAATAGATTTTTTCTTGCAAAAACCAAAATAAAAAATGTTTGCAAAAAAATGTCTAAAAAATGATAATGTATACATTTTTAAAAAACCCTTGACCATGCAATTTTAAATATGCAAAAAAATTTGCAAAATATTATATAACCTGATGTGTAATTAAGAAAAACTGAAAATGTGCAAATTTCTTTTGACGGGTCGTATACAAATAATTTGCAAAAATTTCTTTGCAAAACTAAAGATTATCAAAATCTGACAACTGAAAGTGAATACAATAAGAGATTTAGTATGTGCCAGGAAAAAGTAATAATTCAGGCAGTGTTTAAGTCGGATATTAATTCAGGCAGTGTTTAAGTAATAATTCAGGCAGTGTTTAAGTCGGCTATTTAAAATCATTCTCAATTTTCGATTAATATTTCTATTCGGATTTGCTCATTATCAAGAAAAAATTCAATTTCCATTTATTTTAAGGAATTTTTATTTAATTTTGTTGGTTTTAAGATTTCCCAGGGGTCATGTTAGGTCCCACACTAAAGTTTGGACCAGTTCAGCCTTTTTGACATTACAAACTGAAATGAGTAGAACTTTTTAAAACACTAGTTGAACTGCCCGGTATTGCCCGTGGAGGAAAAAATCTGAAGAAAAAAATTGGAAAACAAATTGTAAAAAAAAATTTCGAATTTTCTAGTCTCACAAAAAATTTCAGCCCAATCGGTCCAGCCGCTTGGCCGGCTATACGCAACATGTATACGAATGTCTTGTTTTGTTTTATAGATGGTTATGCTTTCTTTACTTCACTTTACTTCGTTAAACTTAGGACTTTAAATTTCTAGATAACACTCAACTCAGGAATAAATTTGAAATTAATGTATTCTGCAGAGATTAAATCAAAGGGGGTTCAGGGAATATAATGAGGACAACATAATTAGCATGAAACAAAGCCATACTTGTCCCAATAAAACTAATTCTTCTTTTATGTTATTGTTCTAAATGAATTTACATTTGGTACTATTTAAAAACGGCGAAACGGGTAAACCGAACGTACACGATTTATGTCATGGGGCCGTATTATTTTATGGTGGTTTAGTCCGAAAACGAACACAAACTTTTTTTTTGTGCATTTATAATCAACATCTTTGCTAAAAAAAATGAGACTCAATTTGATAATACATTTTCAAACCTGGTTGGCCGGTACAACTTTCAAAATATTTATATGGGGGGAGGGGGTACTGAAGGATTGGGTCATAAATTTGTGGAAAAGTAAAACGCCTGTTAGACAGACCTATTTCATTTAATATGCTAATTTATAAACCTAATTCTGAAACAATTGGATTTTATGTTTAACAGTTTTATGGGGCGGGTTAAGGGGGGTGAGGGCCTGAGGGGGGGCTTTTTGATAACTTTTTTCATACTAACACTACACATTATAGCAAACCAAGGTTAACGATACATCAGTTATTTTGATATATTCTCAAATTTATTTATTAGATTAGGTTTATTTACTAGATTAGGTTTGCAATTTGTGCATTCGTTCTCACATCAATCACTGACAAAACCTCTTCATGGGACTGTAAGTGTAATTTTATGACTAGTTCATATAAGTTTTCCTGCCGTATAAATGCGCAAGTCGTCAATAAAGCTTTTAATGTTACCGTAGTGAATCAGGCATTGCCATCTTTGCATGACGGGACACTGGAAATTACGTTTATAGTCCCTATAATGTAATATTATCAATCATTTATGAAATAAAAAGTTATCAGAGATACATGTTTTTTTTTTACAGCGAAAAATAACCTTTTTGGTTTGCATTCTATTAGTAAAGATTTGTTTAGTTCTAATTTTGAACCGGTTATAAGTTACTAAAAGATAAGTAACATTGCAAGATATCCAATCCATACTGGGCCTTTGTTACACTCAGAAAAAAATGTCAAATGTTGCATGTTCAATTTTCATGAACAATAACTTTTTTTGACGATTTATCGATTAAAGAAATTGGGAAAATGATAAATTCTTTGAATTAAAAAAAGAAACATCTGACAGAATCTTTATTCAGGGATATATTCATAAATATTTCTCTCTGTTTTTAAAGTTAATTTAAGTTGGTTAATCACTAAAGTGGGCCGTGGGGGTAAATCAATTTATTAGTACCCCTGATATATTTGAGAAAAAAGTATTTCAAAGTTATAAAGTTTTTATCTCAGGTTTTTTCTAAACTTAACCAGTGCCCTTCAAAGTTCTCCTTCCGATTTATTTGAATATTTAATAGACGTTTAAGCCAGTACTGACATTTTATATGATTGACTCACTTGAAAATTGAATGTTTTCAGTATATGTATTGGTAAGTATCTTTACAGATTTCATTATAATTATTTTCAGAACATTTAAACAATACCCTTCTCTCTTGACCAAGATGATTTTTTATGGTTGTTACATAGTTTATTAATCTGAATCGATGAGGGGGGGGGGGGGGCGCCCCCTGAGAGTAAAAGTCATGGAGTTGCAACACATGTTCACTGTAGAATTTTAAGGCCAGCCAAGAAAAAAAAATTGCACCGCTACTAAAGAAATGACCAAAAATTGGAATAAAAAACAATTTTATTTGTTTGTTTTATCAAAATTGCATTAATATTTTAGGGGCTTATCAGAACTAAGGTTTGGAAGTAGCTTTAATAACATACAAAAGGGCTGTAACATCGACCAGTCTTTCCACCATTCTTGACCTCTTTTTTAGCATGTCTAGGGTTAATCTCTAGGGTTAATGACATGTCTAGACATGTCTAGGGTTAATCAACACAATTTTGGATTATTTTCTTATGTATAATGTATTCGTTATTCGTACATTGTGTATTGTATTCATGTTTTTTTTATATTATTAAACATCTATTCCCAACTAGAGTAAACAATTTTTTTTTTCAATTTTTATTCCTAAATTTGATCCACAGAGTTATTTAGCAGAGTTATTTGCGATTCAATAATTTGCGATTAAACTATTTCCGATTAAATTATTTCCGAGTAAATTATTTCCGAGTAAATTATTTGCGATTAAATTATTTGCGATTAAATTATTTCCGAGTAAATTATTTGCGATTAAATTATTTTCGATTAAATTATTTCCGAGTAAATTATTTCCGATTAAATTATTTGCGATTTTAGGAACTTTATTTTAAGTGACTCTCCATGCACAGATTAAAATACCCTTAAAACCTTCATCTTAAAGTTTTAATTATAAAAATTTCACAACGTTTTCATGCTGTTGAAATGCGCAAGTTGTAGAGAAATCACAATTGAAAAAAGTCTATTATTAACATTGATAGCTAATATACGCTTGATCAGACACAATTTTCAGAGTTCTGTTAGGAGTCGAACTTATGGATTATTACATGGAGGGTCGTATAAAATTAAGTTTACAGTTCCTTTAATATTTTTTTCTATTTTCAGAAAGGAAATGAGTTTTTGAATAATATTAGTTCTTGAATACTTCCCTTCCCTTTAGCCTAACCTGGGTAAGCGGGCAGACTATTTAAAAAACCAAAAAAAAACGAAAAAGAAGTTTTAAAATTAATCGAAGTATTAAAATGAATATGAACGACGTAATAAATTTATAAACGGCTAGAAATTCATTTCTAAGATAATTATTATTATTCTATTAGATTAGGAAAAATACACAGAAAAACATTTTTTTCGTTGTTTTTTACCAATCCTTCCCCCTCCCATGTATGTGATGTAAATCAATATTGAGCGGATTCAAATGTGACAGACCACGTTTTAAAAGCCCAAGGCATACTGCTCTCGATATGAGTTATTTTAAGAAGATTACAACAAAAATTGTGATGAAAAAAAGTTTTTTTTTTAATAAATTCCATTGTTTATTAGGACACCCTGTATGCCTTTATGAATAATAAAAACAAAAAATAAAACTAAGTTAAAATGTTTATAGCAATTATGTTGTAACTTTTAAGAAATCCAATTCATTGATTCGTTACCAAAGAATTATTTATTTACAAATTTTGAACAATGTTTAAAAAAAAATTTGTAAAAATTTAATAATAAAACAATACGTATGTTCATACCTAATAATAAAGCTCTTCGCTTATATATTTATGTAGCTGGTCAAACAGCTGGACCGAATTGACTGAAACTTTGAGGAAACCTTTTTTTCTCAAATCGATTCCACGGGCAACGCCGAGCACGTCAGCTAGCTTTTTTTACATAAATGTATGTAAAAAGATTATGTAGATTTGGAGAGTAAATAGTTTCTGATATTTTTCATAAGTAAACTGTTTTTCAGTAAACATTTTTTTAAGTAAGTTCAATAATAATTTTGAAATGCAAAAACGTCTTTAATCGAATTCCGTCGATAAATGTTTTCTAGAATTACACCCTGTCGACTTTGAAACCTTTTTTAATACTTTTTGGATAATTTATATTTTCACAAAAAAATAATAAACTTAATTTTTAAGATTTAAAAAGCTTAAACATGTTTTAAAAGAAAAAAGGGATTACAATTTTGAAAGGGGATGTAATAAAAAATATTCCTGTCTATTTTTGATTTTTTACTGTAACGAATATCTGAACCTTATCAAATTGTAGTTATTTTTTAGACTTTCACATTAGATCTGCAATTTGAGTCATTAAAGCAGTTTTTGGGAAATTCTCAGGGTAAGTTATATATCAATTGTTATAATTTTGAAAACCTATTAATTTGAATCGGGGTTTCTCGACAAAAGTGACTTGCACATATTTACTTACAAGAAAAAATATTCGAATTATTAGAATTTACACCTTAAACCTAAAAAAACAAATCATTCATATATATATATATATGTTGCCTTTTTTCAAATTTTTTTTTACCTCGGGCATTGCCGAACCCTTCATCTTGTCTTTCAAATACCTTTTTGAACCGGATATATCTTCCATATTATTGATATAGTAGGTAGGATAACTTAACTCCAGGCAAAGCCGGGTTTATTTGTTAATTCATACAATTCAGAGGCTCTGCTTTAAAGATAAGACCTGAAATCTGTGATCCTTCCACAATAGGCTTTTTTTCTTTCCAGGATGTGTTCTTGAAGAATGGAGCGAGCTCATTTCAGTCATATTACACAGGAAATTCGAATTAGATTTATCACAAAACAACACAAAACTTCATTGAGTCCCATAACAAATTTGTTGAACTGTTTTTATGTGTATATAATCCGAACAAATCAATAGACAAGGAAGATATTTACATCTTAAAGGGACTGTAAGCATAATTTCAAGTGACCTTTCATTTATAGATAGCGATACCCTTTAGACCTTTGCTTGAACAAGGATTTCGTAGATATTCTTATTTACATAGCGGGAAATTAAGTGCCAAGTAACCGCGCAATTGTACACTAGTACATAGAGTGTAGTGTTCACTGTAACCTCGAGATTCCTGGCACTCAACTTCAGCTATACAAATGAGGGTATCTAACTCGACTATGTCCGGACAAAGGTTTTAAGGGTATTGTTGTGAATCGGACGTGTTCTTTATAAATGCATGGTTACTTGAAATTGCACTTACAGTCCCTCTAAGTAGAAATCTAATTCTTTGAATCCAGACAAGGTCTTCTGTAATAGTCAGGAAACCTAACTTTACCCAACATTTACAGCCAAGGCCTGTGGACTGTATTGAAAAGGATCCAAACAGAGAAACCTGCCAAGAAAATTTGCATTCTTGTCTAAATAAACATTCATCATCAGATAACCAAGAGTTGAGTCAACAGGCAGCAGGACTAGATCTAAATACAGGTAGAAATTGATATTTTTTACGCTTTTAAAATTAAACATAATAATCATATTAGTTTCCAAAATAAACCTAAAACAAGTGTTAATTAATGGTAGATTGTCAGACCCCTTTTGATTACATTATAGTAAAAATTCTAATGAGTTGTTAATTTAATGACCCTATAAGTTAATGCCTGATTCTCAATGGTACCCTGGAAACCTTAATCTGACAGTAGAATGTGGAGATTCTGTCGTTTTCTTTACTCAAATAGTGTTTATTTCCATTGCTTCTGAAATGTTCAAGTTTGAAAGTAGACAGTTTAAACAAACAAGAACATGGAGATATAATTCTTACTTGATCAGAATAAGGCTGTTATGGGGACTGTTGTAAATCGGACATTGTCTTGATTGTATGGAGGGTCACTTGAAATTACGCTTACAGTCTCCTTGAATACTGTTAATTGTCATTATTGATGACTAGGAACCGGTGGTTATCAAGAACCTTTCATCCCCTCACCTGGGATAACTTCTGTGCTTCATCATAAAAGCTCTCCCAGTCCTCATTCTGAATCTAAGTTGCAATTAGACAATGGATCAACTCGTCTATCCCAAACTTTCCAAAATAATAGCTCCCTGGATGATCAGAGAAATACCAAAAACCGGAGTCAAGCGCTGAACTGCAATGAAGAAAATAAGTCGCAATCCATGTGGCACAATTCCGATGGTTTAGATGAACACACGAATAAGCAGATACTTGACATCAAATTCAATCTAATGAACAAGGAAACAGCAGCATCCAAGTTTGAATCATATAACACTAAAAATAAGAAATCAAATAAAATCAACGAAGAAAATTTTAATCCTCAAGTTTTAAAATTAAATGAATGCAAATTTGCTGAGCAAAAACAGTTTGACACATGCACCAATGTCAACCAAAGGACTAATTTTGACACCAACAATCATGGCTCTAACAATCATGGCTGTAACAATCATGGGTGTTGTGGATCAAGATCTGGGCCTAACCAATATGAATTAAGTAATAATATTAATGGGCCGGGCTCAATACATGACACTGAATATAGTTGTATCAGATCTAGAAGGTTTATGTCAGAGGATTCCTGTGCAAGATCAGAGAAGAGCTCAGTTAGATATTTCAATGCTAGTGAAAAGGAGTCACCATTTTTCCAGTATCCGCTACATCAATCAGGAAAGGGTCAAGATCTTCATCATGGTCCTCGACTCACTGTGGACCAAACTTTTCTAAAACATTGCAATGGGCCAAGTTCTCACCAGCGTTACCAGCAAAACACAGCCAATAAGCAATTGCCATCTAGTCATCAATTGTTGAAGGTTACTCAAAGTCCAGAACAGTTCCTGAAGGGGACTTCTGAGTATCTTGAACCAGCAAACAATCAAGGTAATCCAAGCCATCGAAGAATGTCAGTTCAGTACAGCCCTGAGATATGCAATATGGCATCAAATCAGTATGGATTCTCACAAATGACAAATCAACATGACATGTTTCAAATGAGAATGCATCAACACAATTTAGCTCTCATGTCTACCAACAATCAAGAAAGTTCAAGAGTACATCACACAGAACAACAGTTAACACCTCTCCCTGGTTTGCCAGCTTTTCCTTTCTGTAACACGATGGGAAGTACTTCTTCTCTACCATTGGAACAAACTCATAAACTGAAAAAATTACACCAGCATCAGCAACACTTACTTCAGAAGATGTCTGCCAATGGGAACAAATTTGCAATTAATAACGATCTCGACAGAATCTCGGCAATTTCTAATAATCCTTTCTTTGGATTTGTAAATCCTCCTGTGTTTGGATTTAATGGCCTACCGCTAGGCTTAAGAAACTTTTCCCAAAGATCCATGAATATTCCTGAATATTCTCATCAAGCGGGCAAGGACCAGAGACCCATTTCACCCAGGAATGCACTTGTATCTTGATTTTCACTACTATCTGAAAATTTCCTTTTTTCAACTATATATAACAATCTAAGAAAGAATCAACTCCATATTACCATTGACAACTATTGATAATTCTTTTTTCACAACCTATTCCTAGACTGGACATTAGTTGAAGAGTAGGATTATTTTATTAGATAATTAATAGAATGGTATCATGGGGTGGAGTTCTTTTTTGAATCTCTGATTTCAATAATGCCTTTTAAAGTTCAAGTGTAAGCTTAGATCTAAAACAAACAACTGGGACTGGAAGGAAAAGTCCAGGTATAGTACTGGTGAATGTAGTCATTTCCAAAATAACCACTCTGGTAAATGCTCTCAGCCTACCAATCCATCTCACAATCCATCCCCCACCAACACTTCAGAATCTCAGTCCTGCGAGCAAACTTCTTGTGTACATATTCAACTTCCAGATCAAGGTTCAAAGCCAGGCCTAGAGGAAGTTAACGATGCTGCTGGTCAATCAGATTCTGAACCACAAAATAAGGACTACGAAAACAGGGATTTAAATCTTATTTTTCTGATGTCTCTAACATACATTTCTTTCGTGTAGATTACATTTGCACAAAAAAATCATGTATTAGCAATTTATTTTTCATTTAGGAACACTTGTGTTTTTCATATGTCCTTAAAGATTAACTTGATTATTCTCAGAGATGTTTCTTGGAGTTATACAATAATGGTCTACAATTTACAGTCTGTATTAAAATTATATATGGCAAAAAAAATGAAATAACTATCTTAGAATGTTACCCAAAATTAGAACGTCAAGTTCATGTGAAAGTAAATGCTTTTCAAAACAACTAAGGTTTGAAAAAGGTCAATCTAGGTCGATATTGAAACAAAAAGGTCTTTTAAGGTCAATAGAGGTCTACGTATACGATGCTGAACACTAAGAAATAAGAATAAATATGGCAGTGGAGGTAGTAAGAGGAAGCATGGTGTAGAGGATATTAATCCCAACGCAAACAAGATTAAAAAAGGAGTTCCATCAGAGGAAAAGTCCAGGAGCAATTTAGATTCGGAGAGTGAGTTTTCTTGTGTTCCTGTTCTGCCGGGATTAGAAGACATAAAGCGGGAATCTTTATCACCCGCTCAAATAAACCAGGTAGGGGTTAAATCAGTTCCTGTTGTATTTCCTTGCAGAATCTTTATCATTTCTCAATTAACATCATTGTTCTAATTTTACACGAAACCATTTTTTGTGCAATTCCGAACACTTTATTGGTTTCAGTTTTAAACTTTATAAAAGTGTACACTCTTTTCATCTTCATTCATTTTTTTTCTCTTTGAAACCATTTCTTTTTAGTTTCTTGTTAAAAAATGTTTTTATGAATTGATATTTTTGTTCCAAGTTTTTAAGATTACACAACTTATTAAATGGTTAGATTAAAATGATAAAAAATGTCCCTGCTTTCAAAGGTAGATTTCCCAAAAAAGCTCTTTTGAGACATATTTTTTTAATATTTAAGTATTTTAGAAAATTGAATTCAATAAATTATGTGAAATCACTCGTTTTCAGGAGTTTCCCTCAAGATTGCGAAAACATCACAGGAAACCAGAAATTATCAATTTTCAATGATTTTAATTTAGGAATTTTACTTCCCTAGTGAAAATTGTACTAGGAGCTAGATAACCAGAAAACTGTAGAATAGGAATTTGACATTAGAGAAATGCACTGAAGTTATTACAAAATGAAATAGTTTTACTAGTACTAGGCCTGTTTACACTGCATAATTGCCCGGTCTAATGTTCATCAGAGTATTTAAAGTCTCAGTTTGAGTCTAATAGTCGACTTCCTATTCCAGAGGAGTTTTCTGGTTCTCACTATATCTGGTGTTTATGCCAGCAGAACTTTTGTCAAAATACAGTTTTTTATGGCTCATGTCTTTGGTGGGTTGGCTTTTTTGCATATGACCTTAGACGTGATCTCTTCATTTGGGCAACCACTCATCCTTTCTCTCATAGATTCTCCTATTTTGAGAAACAAAAAAATTAAAATTTCTTTTGTTCTATTTTCTAAACACTCTTTATTTGAAACTTCCTTACCTACACTATAGGTTCTGTAAATAAACTACAAGGTGACTTCTTTCCATTTCTGCTTACTTGATGGACATTGGACTAAATGGACAACTTTCACTCTTAAATGTAACTTGAACTTTATACTAATTTTTTTTTAACATTTCTGGCTGCAAAAAAGTAATTTGCACTATAGGGGCTACATGTCTTGTCTTTTCTACAGTGCATTTAGTGCATTTATATGTGCACTAATCCCTTATTATTTTTCATATTTTCCCACATAACAAACATTTAAGCATTACTGTTATAAAACATAACACAACTCCGCATATAATGCACTTTATTACTTCAATACTTTCTAGTGACCTTCTTTATAAAGATATGTATTTCTGATTCACAAGGGTACCCTTCTCATGTATGAGTCAAATTGTTCTTTTCTATAAAGAGATGTATTTCTGATTCACAAGGGTACCCTTCTCATGTATGAGTCAAATTGTTCTTTTCTATAAAGAGATGTATTTCTGATTCACAAGGGTACCCTTCTCATGTATAAGTCAAATTGTTCTTTTCTATAAAAATATGATTTTTTTTATCTTAGGTTTAATAATTAAATTACTTTTTGGACTCAAGAGTACTTCTGAATGGAGGGTTACTTAAGATTGTGCTTCCCTTTAAATATGAAAATATAATATTCTGGATACACTTGTAGTTCACCTTCCTCTGCCAAGGATACCTCCTCGGAATACAAACCTGAAAGGCCCAACAGTGTTCCAGGTTCGAAAATATAATTATTTTCATGCAATGAAAATGTATAGTATATATCATTTTAACGGACATCTAGTTTGTTTGTTCACATCCATCATCATCCCTCCTTAGACAATTTGTTTGTATATATATACACGTTTATTTTATCGTTCATTTTACGTTTTTTCCCCCCCCCCCCCCTGCACTTCTCTCTTATTATGTTTCAAAACTCATGAAATTCAAGTATTACAACTAATTTTATTATCAGTATTTTAAATCAAATTAAATTTATTTTAATTTAGCATGACGAGTAAAAATATAAAATTATGATTTATGTTAGATTCATGCCAGTAATTTTATGACGATTATTTTTCATCATGTTAAGGCCCTGAGTTATTTATTCCAAAATCTCTAAGTCGAGTCCGCAACATTTTAAGAACATAAAAGCGAATTTGATATGTTCTTGAAGGAACTTCTCATGATGCGTTCAAATTTGTTGATATTTTCGAATATATTATTTTTTTTATGTTCAAAAATGTTAATACACTCGAGTATGTATGTCAAGATGAGTTCCAATAAAATGGCGCGTTAAAGATGTACTACGTTCATATATACAGGGTATCCCAATTCCCAATAGACATGGGAATTGAGTGACGAATTCGAGATCGTCTTTGCTAAGAATTAGCATTGTAATACAGGGTGTCCCAATAAACATGGGAATTCAGTGACGAATTCTATATCGTCTTTTTAAATAATTCTTTGATTTAGTATAGTGATACCTACTGAGAAAGCTGTAATCTGTTAGAGTTTCGTCTGCTATGTTCACATTTTGTTTGTTTATGTTTTAACTGCATACGGTTGTACTTAGTAAAACAAGAAAATTGCAGTATACAGAGTAAACTTGTCCGTCTTCACTTTTCATCTTGCGGAGACATTATAAACACATCTTTACAGTTTTTTACACTTTTCATAAAATAAACTCTAGCAGACATAATAATATTATGGCTTTTGAAATTAGGTATTACAATGCTAATTCATAAGAAAGACGATATTGAATTCGTCACTGAATTCCCATGTTTTTTTGTACCTGATTTCTAAAGCCATAATCTGATTATGTCTGTTAGAGTTTATTTCATTAAAACGGTAAATAGTTGTTTGATGTGTCTGTAATGTTTCTATGAAAAATAAACAGTGAAAACGGACAGTTTACTTTGTTGTAGACAAACAAATTGTAAACATGGCAGACGAAAATCCTTCGGATTAGAGCTTTCTCATTAGGTATCACTATTCTAAATGAAAGAAATGTTAAAAATGACAATATCGGATTATTCTTTCATTTCCTATGTCTATGCTCAAATATTTTGTAATATGTTGACATGTTTGAATATCTTAATTATATATTCGAATATGTGACATGTTAAAATATCTTAATCATATATTCGAATATGTTGACATGTTAAAATATCTTAATTATACATTCGAATATGTTGACATGTTTAAATATCTTAATCATATATTCGAATATGTTGACAATGACATGTTTAAATATCTTAATCATTATATATTCGAATATGTTGACATGTTAAAATATCTTAATTATATATTCGAATATGTTTAGATGGAGGAATTAAATTCAACTCTGAACACTTACCTCAACTTGAAATTGATCCTTCATTCTTTGAGGTAAACTCTTTTTTTTATGTGACTTATTAAACCTGTACAGAGACATGTTTTTCAATTTGTGTATAAATATATATGTATTATAATGAAAAAACATCATACAGGAGAGTTGCACAAAAAAGGTACAATTTTGCACCAGGCGCTGCAAATCACACTTTTTTTTGACTCACCCTGTATGTAAACCATTGGGTAACAACGATAAGAATCGGACATTAAAATTCCACGGGCAACGCTAAAATTAACGATGGGCATAACTACAACACTAATAGTAATAATAAATTTGAACGTACCAAGTTCTTAGTTAAAATACTGTCATTAGCAGAAAGACCAGGAATTAAATGACAGTTAATCTGACGACTTTACAAAAATATATCTCTGGCTATTTTAAATGCTCAAAAAGGGCAGACCACATTTTAGAAATGGCAGGACTTTGGGCCTTTTTTGTGATTATAGTTTCATCAATCATAAATGTAAACTAGATTGTAAAGTCTAATTAATTGTAAATTACATTCCGGGTCTATCTGAGCATGACATTTACAATTAGAAGATAAAGGAATACTGCTTTGGTATCATAAGATCAGTGGGCTCATCCCTTAAATTAGATATTTCCACTCAGATATATCACTAGCTAAAAAGCCCGCCATTTCCCTAAAAAATGGAAATTTTTTGTTGTTGAATTTATTTGCCTTTGTTACCCCCGGGATACCCCTGGGTTCCCTCAAAAAATTTTAGCCCATTCGGTCCAGCCGTTTGGCCGGCTATAGGGAACATATATAGATTATAACTGAATTATTACATTAGTAAGTCTGTTTGACTGAATTGTATGTATTCTATAAATTAATTAGAGGTCTTTCTATCTCTTGCGTGGCATAATCAAATTGTGTCAGTAAAAAGCATACTTTATTTTCTGTTATTAGGTTTTTCTTAATATAAAAAAAGGAAATTCATATAATCTGGTTTGTTTCCTGGTCTCTTTGTACCCTTAGTTCCTTTCCCCTTCTTCTTCCCCTAGCCCTTATAGGCCCCTGGTCCCATTTTTAGTCTCCTTGACTCGTCAGTCCCCTGGTCCCCCTAGTAACTAGGGCTTAGTTAGTCCCCTGGTCCCCCTAGTTAGTCCCCTGGTCCCCCTAGTTAGTCCCCTGGTCCCAAAGTTAGTCTCCTTGTCCCCTTGATGGTCTCCTGGTACCTTCGCTGGTCCCCTAGTTAGTCCTCTGGTCCTTCCATGGTCCCCTAGTTATTCCTCTGGTCCCTTAGTTAGTCTCCTGGTTCCTTAGGTTGTCCCTTGGTCCCTTAGGTAGTCTCTTAATTTCTCAGTACCTATATCCCTTATATCCTAGTCTCTTAGCTACCTGGTCCCCTAGTCATAGTTTTTAGTCTAAGTTTCCCCAGTTTCTTGGTCTCCTGTAGTTTTCCAGTTTCTTAGCTCCTTGGTCTTTTAGTTACCCTGGTTCCTTTGTCTCCTAGTCTTATTCTCTTTGTTCAAACGTTGAAATTTTATTTGGTTTTTCTAAGAAAAGCAATGTTACCCGCAAAGGATGAGACTGTGAAGACGACAAGTAACTCTTTGAATATAACGATTCCATGGTTGAATCAAGTCTTTTCTGCCTTGAATATAGTCGTTTCATGGCCTATATAATGATTTGACGCAGAACGAAACAAGTTTACAGTTTCAGAAAACCATAGATATATATGATTAAACGGACCGTATCAATTCCGTACAGTCGTCTCTGAAGTCTTATCTTTGTATTTTATTTTAAATTTGTCTGACCTGCAGGTGAAGCTGGAGCCTGATTATCCATCTCCTACAGATGATCTCCCTGCTGCAACTAGACGTAATATTATATCTCCTCTACGTGAATCGCATGAAGACTACCCTTATGACGTCACTAGGAATACTACTTTTTTAATTGTATATTTCTCAAAACTTTTAACCCGGTTTTTGGATTTTTTTTTAAAAGCTTCCAAATGGTTTTAAATTGAAATGAGTATAAAATTAGGAACGATGAACACTGTCGACCTGAAGCAACCAGACAATTGTCGGTTTCTTTCAGGTAAAATGTCGTTAGTTAAATTAGAATGTCGTATGTTGAATTTTAATGACCCATATTGAATTAGAATGGCGCATGCTAACTTATGAGAGCATATGTTAAATTAGGATGGCATGCACATTATATATTTGAATGAAACCTTTTGAATTAGTGGTAATTAAATAAGAATGGCGCATGTAAACTTAGAATTGCGCATGTGAACTAAAATTGCGCATGTTCAATTTGAACGGCGCATATTAAATTAGTTTGCTGCATGTTCACGTTAAATAGCACCTGTTCAGTGTTCACTGAAAAGGCGCACGTGCACTTGAAAACAATCTACCTTTAATTGAATATCAAATTGAAATTGCACTTATTTTTATGTAATGGCTCTATCTGAGCCTAATAGGCGCCTAAAAGGGCATGTTTAAATCAAATTGGCAAACTATTGCAGCTAACTATTGTTGTTATACAAACATTTGTTATCTGATTTAAACTGTATTCCTTGTGTAACCAGTTCTAAATTGCAATCTGCTTGGTATGCTATAATTGTCACAAAGGAATAGGATACGAATCTGAAATTACGTAAGCAGAATGTTACGGAACTGCATTTTCGTATTGCCATTTACCATTTTATCATTTAAAGGGAGTGACCGGCTATGTAATGTAGTTGAACTGATTATGCAGTGTTGTGGAAAACTTCTTTTGGATTCATTTGAGACATAAAAAACTTTTTAAAGATCTGTAAATCCTGAGTTTGAGCGCAAATTCGACGTTCGAAACTCCTGCTTTGGGGTTGGATACATTTTCAGAATTAGTTTTTTTAAATTATTAAATAACGACGACCTAAAATGTAAAAAAGTTTTACAATAAACCACAGACGGCATGAATAGGAACATGTTGAGAAAATAAAAATTAATCTTATAATCGAAAATAAGTATTCTTTTTAAATTATTAGTTTCTATTTTCTCATTATTCTGGTTTCTCATTATTCACAAAAATTTTCTGCAGATTTTCTAGAATTATTATTGAAAAAACGACATTTTAAGAATTTGAAGAAATCTGCAAATAAATTCAAAGGAAATAAGAAATTCAATAAATTGATGAAAACGAAATAATCGATTTTATCATTGATTTATTGACAAATTTCTTTTGAGAAATATGTTCCTTACCATCTTATAAGATTACTGTATAATTTTTACTTTATTTTTCGTTGTCGTTATTTAATAATTAAAAAAAATAATTCTGAAGACGTATCCACTCCCAAAATTGGGAGTTTAGAACGTCAAATTTGCGCTCAAACTCAGGATTTACAGATCTTTAAAATGTTTAATATGTCTCAAATGAATCCGAAAGAAGTTTTCCACTACACTGCATACTCAGTTCAACTACCTTACATGCCGGTCACTCCCTTTAACTAAATTTGTTTTCGGAAAGGATGTAAAAATTTTTTTTAAAGCATTGGTTCACAAATATTGGGTTTAAGCTTTTTTGCGACAGCTAAATTTTTTTTTTTGCTAAATCATTTTTACAATTTTTTTTAAATTGTCCAATTTAAAATCTAAATTATTAAATATTAAATAGTTCCAGTGACCTGGAAGCTGGAAGTCTGGAACTGAAGAAGGATGATAATGTCCTTGCACGACCGGGAACTGTCAGGTTGGCGGCTTTTTCAAAGGAAAATCGGTCTATGACCATATCGTATTCTTTAATATTTTCTTATTTCTTTGATGGTTTACGGCAGGCGAACCATCGACTAATCAGAGCGAGCTTACATTGTTCAGATTCTACAGCGTTCTGAGTATTTTGAATCAATTTTATGGTTAATAAAATTCTTTAATTATTCAGTGATCATTTCGCCAAAGCCCCCCCCTCCCCCCACAACCCTTCCATAATAATACATTTTGAAATTAACTGTATTTACTCTCTGAAAAATTAGAACCAATGGAAATTTAAACATTTAAGGGATTCTATGATAAATAAATTTTTTATGAGAAAAAAGTATTTTTTTATAATAATGTGTGTATGTTTAGAATAAAATTCATTAAATCATTTGTTTATCAAGATTGTAAAGTCATTTTTTAGAAATTGCACATTTTACAATTTGATATCAAAAGTTTTATAAATTGCACTTTATACTTTCAAGATTTATCCTCCATTTTGATTTTTTGTAAACTCTTTTTACAATCAGAGTTTTTAAAGGGAAAGATAATTTGTTGGTACGTGCGACATTGCTTCTCTTTTGATTATTAAATATTTCATTATATTTTAGAATTTCTAATATTCCATGATAATCTTATTCCATGAAAATATTCCTTTCTATTTGATTATGTTAATATGAATATTTTCTTTTTCTATTTTCAACATGTCTCTTTCTTATCAAATATAATATTTTCAAATGTCAGTTCTTAAATTTTTCTGACTTTATTTTTTTTCTTTTTTTTTTCTTAAAAATTCATTTTCTGGTTTTACTGTACTTTTCATAAATACGCTTCAATGCTAATTTGTTGGGTTGCAAGTTTTTCCATGAGTATTTTTTTTTAAAAATAATAATAATAATGTTAAAAATGATTTTAATTTTTATATTAAAAAATGTCTGTGCTAATTAAACTACAAGTAAATTAGGTGACACAAAAAAAGGTGGTCAGGGTTTGTGTGCTTGTTATGTATTTAAAAGTATCTTCCAGAATTAAAAGTCACTTAAGAAAACAATATTATAAAAAATCTTCTTACCATTTTATGGTCACCTTTTATACAGGGTTACTCACAAAGGATCAGCCTTCAGAGATGACTGTGCGGGATTTTTATTTTTCTGTTCCCTAATATGTATTATTCCCTGCAACTCTGAACTTGTTGTCAGACAGATAGCAGATTTAATTCAACTGCGTGATATCATCATATTTCAAGAGGTTTAGGTCGTCTTTTCAGTCTCATCCTTTGTGGGTCGCGATCCTATTTTGTTCAGGAAGAGGAGGAAGAAAAGTGAGATTGATAAAAACGAGGACAGACGACCCATTAGGAAACTATCAAGTTTAATTTCATCACAATTAATTTGAATTTAAGAAACTGTACGTCTCCAAAAGTTTTGAATCGATATATCTTTGCAGCCTGATGGTATACACCTTTGCTAAGATATTAGGATTAGCTAATGAAACTATAAAGAAAGTAATCGTTTCTATTTATAAAACTTTGAAAGAGAACTGAGTCGTATTTTCGAAAATAAAAGTTACCTTTATTTCCAGACCTAACCCTATTCAACTGCGGAAGTTGAAAGATATGTTTGCTAAGGAAATTTGTCTTACCTCGAAATTTCATTTGGAATTTTAGTTTTAGGGGGTTAGTTAGTTAAATGAAAAGTTTGCGCTTCTGTTGAAAATTATCTTCTTCTTTTGGGGGGGGGGAGAAATTCTAGTTCTAGCCTTTTTTCATACTTTAATCCAAAACTTTAAATATATATATTTATTTTTCAAATTCTGCAATTTAAGGCCTTATTTTTAAAGGGAAAAATTAGATATTAACTTTTGTACTCCTTTTACTTGATTTGGTTGTTTTCAGTGACTGCAACGTTTGCGGAGACAAAGCTATTGCACATATGCACTACGGAGGGATATGCTGCTACTCCTGTAAGGTAATATGAACTAGTTAATTTACAGGGTTAACCACAAAGAATGAGGATTTTATGACGGCGGAGACATTTTATCGGCAACGTAAAGGATTTTAGTAGATTTATTTTATTTTATCGTCTATTATTTGCCTCTTGGATCCGGATCCGTGCATCCGAATATTTTTGTGGATCCAAAGGATCCTTCAGGAGAGTGACATATAATGATTTCCCAACTAAAGTGGTTGTGAACCTTAAGGTAAAGAGCGATGATGGCGTTAAATTTGCTTATTTATCTGAATATCGAAATTTACAACTTTAGAATGGGATCAATTGAACGAACAAAATATCCCAATTCCTGACAAAATATTGTTTATATTTCATTAAATCGTTAATAAAGGGCCACACTATAGATATAATTAAAATCATCAGAACAAAATTCGAACATTTTTTGAAAACTGAAAAGGTAATCTTTAATATAAGTTCACTGTTCCGGCCCAAGGAACCATGCAAAGGTTCATCATGTTTTATGTTTAAAATAATATTTTTTTAAGTACTTTCAAATTTACACTAGCTCTGTGTAATTAAGCTAATTGAATTAATTAAAATTTAAAATCAATAAACAGATTTGATCCTTCACATACTTGAATTTAAGAGAGAAAAAACAATAATATTTAACACTTTTTCTGTGAGAAATTTGATAAGCCATGTAGTGGGTAGCGTAGCCCTGATAAGTGAACCACATGCTGCACGTTGCTAAAAAGCCTAACTGAAAATATTTTCGAAGAATTAATTTTCCAAAAAAATACTTTGAAAAGATAATAATTGATTTTTTACTACATTTAAGTAACTTGACCTTTGCGAGTAACACTTTAAGCTGTCAATACTCAACCATTGCTATGAGCGGTCATTTTTCTTTTAAATCGTATGTCGCGGATTTTTTGCTTTAAGTTGAGCGGATTTTTTGGGCCAAAAAGTTTTATTTTCAACTATTCGTAAACTTTCCTAGGGTCATGTGAGTTGCCACACAATTTTGGTTAAGTCGTTTTGACGTTTATTATTGTATACAAACAAACTAAATAACAGATTTTTAGATAATGCAATAATTTTTTTACTATATGGTTTCGTTGACTTTTTTAAGTATAAACAGAAGCCTTTTATCATACGGGAACCTTGTTATGAAAATAATAAAAAAAAAATTCAATGAAATATATTTGTGAGCATATATAATGTTTACCCTTTTCCGTGGCCGAATTTAAAGAATTTGAGCGGCGGGTTAAATTTAAGCCGCGGCTTAAATATGGTTGGTTCCACTTAAAATTATATCAAATGTTTCAAGATTTAGGCCGGCGCTTAATTTAGACCAGGTTTTGGTAGATTTAAACCGCGGCTCAAATTCTTTAAATTCCATCTCCGATTAACTTCTGATTTGCCCGAAATTTTCCGATTGTTATACAAATCCATAACATTTAATATGTTCTTAGAAAGCACCTGGGCCCGCCCTACTTCAAAAATCTGCAAAAATCAAACTATTTTTTAGCTAAATATAGTGAAGCAAAAAATGTGCTAAAAAACTGAATTTGCTCAAAATGCGACAATTTTTCACATTTTTAAAAGCTTTTGAAATTTAAAATTTGCCAAAATGATTGCAAAAAATTACCACCTGAATGTTTACTGTGAGCAAAAGAAAAACTGAAATGTGCAAATTCCCCTTAAAGGCGTGTGTGCAAAAGATTTTCTCATAATATGCTAAATGAGTGCAAAATGTAAGGAACTTCCATAATTTACAAAAACTGGCCGAATTCATGAAGAATGACTCCAAAATCTGCTTTTCTTGTTATAAGCTTTCCAAAGAGCTTTAAAATGTAAAAATCGGATGACTGAAAGTAGGTCAAAATATAGATTAAGTCAGGTATAGGTAAATTAAGGCATTGAGGCAGTACGCCTGAGGACTCAGGCAGTAGGCATAAATGTCCGGCGCCTTAGGTGAGAGGAATTTCTTAGTTAGAAAAGCCAGAAAATATGACTTTCTATGCTTAAATACTTTTCGTCATATTGACCCCCTCCTTCCTCCCCCCTCAGTTGGAATAGTATATTAAACGTGAATATATTTGTTTTATTTTGATATTTTTGATAAAAATGGAAACATGTTTCTCTAAACTCTTCAAATAATCTGTTGATATTGTTCTAATCCGATTCCACGTTATTAGAGAAATATATTTGTATTATTAACATTAATTCTCTACTTAGAACCACTCAACATTATAGTAATTTTCTATTGAAGTACTTTAATTTTGTTAGTTTAAAATAGAGCGCATGCAGGCTGGATTTTTGAATTGAAAAAAGTAGGTACAAAGTGTGGATAGTTCAATTCTATTTTACTTATGTAAAAACTAGACAATTCACAATTCTCGTAGTTTAAATTATTTCTCGGTAATTATTAATTCTGATCTCAGAACGCCAAAGTTTTCAACTTTTGTTTTGAGAATGTAATACATTTTTCTTACTGGCAAATAAAGTTGTTCCAAACACGAAAACTTTTTGTCTTGTATGGGGGGGCAGTACACACTACAAATTTTAACAAATTTAAATCTATTTAAAATTTGTTGGCATTTAGTATTATTTTTGAAGGAGGCTCATCTCATACTTCTACGCAATGATTGAAGATTGTAATCTTTGTTTAATCTTTTGTAAAAAAACCGCAATTAAAATTTTTTTTAATGATTTTATGTTCAAATCATTTTCTTTTAAAATACTTTTTAAATAGGTCCTAACTTCTAATTATGCCCCCCAAAAAAATATTTTTTACCCTAAAGCACGACAAACCACTTTTGATTAACTAAGGAAACTCAAAAAAATTATATCGATTGCAATTTCTGCAGGTTTTCATAGACAATGACTTTTTCTGAAAATTTGATGGAAAAGGTAAACAGTTTTGTAATCAATATAAAATTTCTTATTACTCTTTGGAAACTAGAAGAGGTTCAACGGGATACCAATAATTCTGCTTTAAAGAACTGCAAAAGTTCACCACACACTAATTTTATAAATCTAGCATCTTTGAAACCTGATGTTGAGATATTTATTTATTTATTTTGCAGAGGATAAAATTTTGAAATATTGTAAGGTTCATACCATTAGGTTGCAAATATAGAACGAATAGAAAATTATGGTGAAAATTTTATTTGATTTTAGCTTTTTGTAAAACTTATGATATTAGTCCTAAATTATATCGTTCCTAACCATATCCAAATATTTGATTTTACATTAAACCTTTTCAACCCAATGAAATTTTAATGTTTAATTATACGAAGGAAGCATATTTTATGTTTTCATGTATACAACATTCTGAAATTGGCAAAAAGTAGGAACGCTTTGAGGCTTTACATTATCATAATTAGTATCAAAGCAGACTAATTTTATGTTTAACTTTGAAACTACGTTTTATATATTTTCACATGATTGTGTATTATTATAAACCTCAATTTTGACAAAAAAATATTTCCACAAGGAACATTTATTATCTTACACAGGAAACGCGGAAGAGGTTAAACACCAGATTTAAATTATAACGAAATTAAATACTATAATTTGTGCTCAAATTTTATGTTAGTTTTTTATTTTCACCCGAATCCCTTTCAAGAAGTATAAATTCTAGATTTTGTCATAGTAACGGTTCTTTGTCAACTTTTTGATATTTGGATACGTTTCTTTTACACGGAGGAGGGGCGCATTTAGCAAAACTTGGGGCATAATTTAATGTATACGTCGTCATTCGTTCACATAGTAACTACACAAATCTGTAATGCGATTAACCCATTCCATGTTCGCGGGATATTACTTCGTTAAATGTGATTCAATGCGTCATAGATAGTAACCGCTCATAACTTGTAATTATGCTGTAAATAATGGAGTTAAGCCTGGTTGAGATTTGAACTGTGTGTCCCTTAGAACCGGGGAGTTAAGTCTGGTTGAGATTTGGACTTTGTGTGTCCTTTAGAACTGGGGAGTTAAGCTTGGTTAAGATTTGGACTTTGTGTCCCTTAGAACCAGGGAGTTAAGCCTGGTTGAGATTTGGACTGTGTGTGTCCTTAAGAACTGGGGAGTTAAGCCTGGTTGAGATTTGGACTGTGTGTTCTTTATAACTGAGGAGTTAAGTCTGGTTGAGATTTGGATTGTGTGTCCTTTAGAACCGGGGAGTTAAGCCTGGTAGAGATATGGACGGTGTGTCCCTTATAACCAGGGAGTTAAGCCTGGTTGAGATTTAGACTGTGTGTGTCCTTAAAATCTGGGGAGTTAAGCCTGGTTGAGATTTGGACTGTGTGTGTCCTTTATAACTGGGGACTTTGGCCTGGTTGAGATTTGGACTGTGTGTCCTTTATAAGTGAGGAGTTAAGCCTGGTTGAGATTTGGATTGTGTGTCCTTTAGAACCGGAGAGTTAAGCCTGGTTGAGATATGGACGGTGTGTGTCCTTTATAACTGGAGACTTTAGCCTGGTTGAGATTTGGACTGTGTGTCCTTTATAAGTGAGGAGTTAAGCCTGGTTGAGATTTGGATTGTGTGTCCCTTAGAACCGGGGAGTTAAGCCTGGTTGAGATTGGACTGTGTGTCTTCGGATATTTAGTACTGGTTGATCTTGTTAACGAATAGACCTGGATAGATACGTCTCGAGTAAAATTTTATGGAGTAGGCGTTTACTACACGCTGGCCACGACTTAACTAAATCTTAAATCTTTAATAGGATCAATAATTTGAAAAGGTATTTTTTTCACTAAAAGATTAATTTTTTAGGCATTTTTCCGAAGAGCAGTACAAAGCGGAAAGGATAAGAAGTATCTGTGTAAAGGGGAGGGACACTGTCCTGTGTCTGTACATAACAGACGTGGCTGTCAGAAATGCAGGTACCAGAGAAACCGGAAAATTCTAATATTCTAAAATAATAAAATATGAAAGATAACCAGGAACAAATATGTTTGAAAATCTAGAATCTTCAGATACTTGAAAAATAAAAAATAAATAAGAGCCAAGGAAATTTAATTTAAGATAAAAAGAAGGTTTAGAATCAGGAAAATGAATATAACAAGAAGATGTATATATTAGGAATTTGAATATATCAGGTAGATGAATATATCAGGTAGATGAACATATCTGGAAAATGAACATATCAGGAAGATCAACATATAAGGAAGATGAATGTATCAGGAAGAAGAATATATCAGGAAGAATATAAGATGCATATATCAGGAAGAAGAATATTTCGGGAAGAATATATCAGGAAGATGAATATTTCAGGAAGTTGAATATATCAGGAAGATGAATATATCAGGAAGAAGAATATATCAGGAAGATGAATTTTGAATATATCAGGAAAAAGAATATATCAGGAAGTTGAATATATTAGGAAGAAAAGATGGTTGGGGGTGGTTGAAGAATCAGGAAAAGAGGAAGAGGGTTAAATTTAGAAGTTATCTAAATATATTATTTAAATACACATTTTTGTTTAGATTTGAGAAATGTCAAGAGATCGGGATGGTTTCTACCTGGGTTCTGTCAGGTAAATAAAGGGATGGTTTCTACCTGGGTTCTGTCAGGTAAATAAAGGGATGGTTTCTACCTGGGTTCTGTCAGGTAAATAAAGGGATGGTTTCTACCTGGGTTCTGTCAGGTAAATAAAGGGATTGTTACCTCAACAAAATCAAGTTCTCAGACCAACAATATTGTTTAAAATTTCTTGATTTTCATCATTTTTTATTTTATTTGTTTTTAACTTTTTAAGCAATCGTTTTAAAATTATTTTTTGGTTTAATTATTCATTAGTTTTCATTATACATTGTTTTCATTATTAATTGGTTTTCTTTATTCATTGGATTTATTTGTTCATTGGCTTTCATTATTCAGTTTTTTCATTATTGATTGGTTTTCAGTATTCTTTGGCTTTCATCATTCATTGCTTTTCTTTATATATTGGTTTTTATTATTCATTGTGTTTCATTAATTCTTTCTTTTCATTATTCATTGGCTTTCATTATTCATTGGTTTTCGTTATTCATTGGTCTTAAATATTCATTGGTTTTTATTACTCATTGGTTTTCGTTATTCATTGGTTTCATTATCTATTTGTTTTCATCATTCATTTGTTTTCATTATTAATTGGTCTTCATTATTCATTGAATTTCATTATTCATGGGCTTTCATTATTCATTGCTTTTCATTTTTCATTGTGTTTCATTATTCTTTGATATTTTTTATTCATGGATTTTCATTATTTATTAGCTTTTATTATTTATTGGCTTTCATCATTCATTGGTTTATTTTTTATAGGAATTTAATGTTCATTGTTGATTATTGGTTTTATTTTTATGTTTGTTTTGTAATTGTTTTTATTCATTAATTTCTGTTATTTTATTAATATTTTTATTTATTTATATGTTTATTCCTTGTTATTTAACGGAAGCTACTATTCATGAATCGACATAAAAATAAATAATATCTGACTTATTTGCTTCCGTCATCAGCTGGTATTTCTGGAATGATATCGATTTTTCCGATGGTGGAGGAGGGGGGGGGGGGGGGGTTTCCTTTATGAAGGGTACCATCGGGTTAGAGAAAGATTTCTGATGTCTGAAAAAATGAAGAGGAAGAAATTTTTGTGATAGTGCGTACAATGTACATACTCAGGGTGTCTCACTAAAAAGACGAGTTGAGTACCAGTTCTTATTAGCTTTTCAAACTGCACACCACATTATAGAAAGTTTACAAGACTTATGACTTTTTTAGGGATATAAATATTGACATTTTTATGGCTATCAGGATCTAAAACGATCTTTTCATGTTCCCGCTGAATTCTCTCTCAAAATATCAATTTTCTAGAAAAAATTACAATTTTAAAATTTAAAAATGAACTTGGAAATACACTAACCGTTGCACTTGAATTTGACACAGTTTCATATCAATTTCTGGAGACAGGAACATCAGATAGACGTCTTGTATGTATCGTTCAACACCTGAGATTCTCAGGTTTCATACTATACCCCTTTCATTTTTCCTTTACAGTCCCTTTAAGGGCACACAAATTGCTATGACGGTTTGAAACCAAAAAAGTTCTGACCATTTATTTAATTTTTTCCTTTTTTATATTTTACACTGTCGTCATTTTAGACAAGAATTTGGGATAAGACTCGTAGTACGTGAAAGTAATTTCAAATTGCCACGCATTGATACTGTCCGATCCCAGTTATGAAAACGTTTTTTTCTACTACATTATTAATTAGATTTAAGATTCATTCCCTATGGGCACTGTTTTAAATCGGGTATGCTAATCTTTTTTATTAAGAAGATTATCTTAAAATTATGATGTCAGCGTCTTAAGTTAGCTTTTAGAATGTCCAGAGGCAGAATTTAAAGAATTTGAACCGTTATTAAATTTGAACCGCGGCTCTAATTTTGGGGGATTTGAGACGCGGCTTTAATTCATTAAATTTGAACACAGGTCAGAGAAAAATATCTATCCTCTTTCACAACCAGTAAAATATATTAATCTCTTGTAATTATACAAGGCAGCCATTTATTTTTCTTATTAACGAAATAACAAAGTTTGGTTTATTTATTTTTTCTTATGTTTCCTCAAACTCAAAGTTATAATGAATTAAAGATGAGTTTTAATACACCTACATCATTTTGGATCGTTTATGGCACTAAATTGCGATTTTCGGGACTAATCAGAAAATTAAAAAAGACTTAATTTTAAAAAATTGTATACGCCTAATTAAAAAATTTGCAATGTGAAAATACTAGATTTTTTGAGTAATATGTGAAATACTCACATATATTTTAGAAGATTTAGAATCAAATCTTGAAGATAATGCAGTATGATATTGGACTCTCTGAAAAATCAATGAACAAACAAATGAATGAAGGAGGTTGTTAAAATACGACTATTTATATTAATTAAAGGGAATATCAAATGACCCTATGCACGTCTGATACCCTATAAACCTTGTTATAAGCAAAAAAGATTTAGTAACTTATAACTCCTTCTTTTTCTATTTAAAACTTGATATTTAACATTTGCAAACCACAAAGAATAAAAAATGGAATATGTTGAAGGATAAAAGGACAAAAGGATGAAAGATTGAAAGAATTTTTAAGACAAAATATTTTTTATTTTCGTAAACATGGTTAAGTTCACAACATTAAAATGTGATTATTACAGGAGTTAAACGACGAAAGCATTTTATTTTACAAATATGAATTGGCTATACTTTCATAGCTAGTATTACAGTTGATAATGCTCGAGATATGCAACGAAGAGCTATAATATTAGAGCATTTTTCTTAGTTAATAAAGGTCGAGAAAGAAACTTTAGTTTTACAACTTTTTCACTTTGAATGAAAACAACTTTCATTTTTAAAAAATTATAAATTAAACAGTTTATATCATTTATTTTGCATTGTGTTTGCTGTCTAAATGTGCAGAGACGTTTGACAAAATTTAACCTATGGAGATTACAACTTTAAAGCATTTTTTTCCGGGTAAGAACCTTATCGGGTTCGTTAAATCCATGTCAGACTAGAGTGCACATAGCGCATTCCCAACTAATCAGGATGTTCAAGATAATATTCTAGATTGAAAGAATAAATGCAGATTGAATGAATGACTGGTTGACTGAATAAATTCTGTATCTAGATGAGCAGTGTGAACAAAGGTTTGGAAAGTCTAAGCTGAAAAGAAAAGGCGGATATGATTATACACCAAAAAAACTAAAGGTATGTTAGATTGATCATTTTCAAGTTAAAAGGAGGCAATCGGACAAACAAACAAACAGTGATTCCTACTTTTTATACAAAATATATATAAAATTCAGCAAAAACAAATATTAATTTTTATTGCAATCTCTGTATTAGTTGAATGTTTGTTCCTCTAAAAAGTAAAAGTAACGTATGAAGGGGGTGGGGGGGGGGGAATAAAGGAGACTAAAGCGCCTCAAAATTCAACAAAATTTTAAATAATTTTGATGGAATACCCATTAAAAATATTATTTTAGGAAGGGTTAAAAGTGCAAATACTTTTCTTGAAGAGTACACAATACACATTGTATTTTAGGAAGAGTACACAGTACAAATGCACAAACACAAGCCCTTGGATGATATGTTTTACAAACTAACGGATACAGATGAACTATCTATTGAATACAGTGAGTATTTATTAAAACATGATTAAATATATTCCAAAACAGAATTCATAAAGTTAGAATTTTCTTGCTGTTGTTACCACATCTAAATCGTCTGTATCTATGACTTTTAACCTTTAACTCGTAATTAATGCTTATTACAGATGGATACATAAACATATGGAAAAAGGAAGTCGACATTTAACAAATTTTGATTTTTATTTAATTTTCTGAAACAAATAATTAACTTTTTAAGTGAAACGGGTCTGTTTAGACTACTCAATTGCTTTGTTTCATGTTTTCTGAACTAAAGTCAAAACTTCCATCTGAAAGTCGTCTTCCTATTCCACTGTTTAATGGATCCCACTGTTTTTATCAGCTTGAATGAAGTTTTCATTTTCCTCATGTATAGATTGAAAATGCTAAATGGATAAGTGCAAATGCAGACTCCTCAGGAAATTATCCAAAAGAAGTCACGTGTAACTAAAGTAAACTGTCTTCTGTAAACAAATTAAATGCACGGAAAATTGAAATCTTCCTTTTTTAGCACATCTTCCCTTATTAAAGAACTATTGAGCATAACAAAAATATTTATGATTTCCAATATGTAACCGGTTACCGGAAATATGATTTCTGAAAGAAGAAAAATTATTTTTTTTAAGCGTTTGTTACCCCCCAGGTTAAAAGTGGGTTCCCTCAAAAAATTTCTGTACATACGGTCCAGCCGTTTATCCAGCTATAGCTAACATACAGGGTGTCCCAGAAAAACTGTGAAGTAGGGGTAGTTACTGAGGAGATAATTTTTGTTCAATTTTTACAATCAAGGTGTCATTAGAAAGCTCTATATTTAAGTTATTTTATGATGTAAATTTTTTCCTTCTAGGCATAATACTTTTTGTTGCAACCAATTATTTGAGCGTAAGTCGAAAATTGATTTCCCGGATTTTTCAAATTTTCGATTTTCTTCGTCTCATTTTCATTCTTTCATAAATTATGAAAAAATCAAAGGTTTTTTGAAATCTTTAAAAAAAATCATAAAAAATCACAGGCACCAGTAGCTTTCTGAGCGTTTATTTTTAATGCATATTTTATTTTTTTAGATTGCTCCAGCTCCAAAAGTAATGATCGTTAATCCGAAATTTTAATTAAAAATGAAACCTGTGACTAACAGCTTATGATTAAAAAAATCGAAAACCTTTAATTTTTTTAATACTTCGTGAACGAATGAAAATGAGACTCGAAAAATCAAAGATTTTTAAAATCCTGGAAGTCGATTATCGACTAACGCTCAAATAATTGTATGTAACACAAAAATTGACATCATGGAATAGCTAAATTATAGAGCTTTCTAATGACACCTTGATTGTAAAAATGGATCGAAAATTTTTCCCCTCAGTTACTAAAACTGCACAGCTTTTTCTGTATACAAACAAGTATATATGAGCGAAGAGCTTAATTATGAAGACATTGTTACTAACAATGGAACTAAATTGTGTAAATCTTTAGTCAAGAATAAAAACTTTCGGAATATGTATAAAACTCGACATTAAGGTCGCTTCACGCCATTTTTTTAAAACAATTTTCACATTTAACCAACCATATATGTTCCTGGGGTCACGTGATTTCCCACAATTTTAGCCCGATTTGACGTTTATTGAATACAGACATACAAACAGACAAGCCAAATTTATTGATAGATAAAAAATTGCATTTTCCCCCTGTGCAGGGATAACATTACCCTTTGGGGGAAGGGGGAGGGGGTCATAAAAAATATATTTACCATTGAACATAAATATATACAGGGTGAGTAAAAAAGGCGAGATCTTGCACATAATAAAGCATTTTTTTTTGGTAGTCTCATTTTTGACAAATATGAATGACATTTTTGAATTATTTTTTTGAAAGGCAATCTGATAGACCCTTTAAAATATCCGCAAAGCAATTTTTTACCCAAAATTAGATGTGTAGAAAAACAAAAGTTTGTTTTGTTTATTTGTATCCAATAAACGTTAACACGGCTGAACCGGTATGGACCAAATTTTTTGTGGGACCTCGCGTGACCCCTGGAAATTTATATGGATGATCGAATTTTCAAATATTTCCTTTTAACAAATTCGATTTTTTTAAATTTCTAAAATCCACGAAATTTTTTTTAATCCGCGAATTTTTTGTTATTGTTTTATTTTACATGCAATGTATTCAAAGAGAAAATGTTTACAAATGAAATAGAGGATGGGTCGGCTCAAACTTTGTGTTTGACTTCATATGCCCCCAGGGAAAGTTTATAGATGATCAAAATTTCAAAATTTAGCCTCCAACAAAATTCCATTTTTATTAAATTTTAAAAAATCCACGAAATGTTTTTATAAAATCCGCGAACTTTTTTGTTTTTGTTTTACAATGTTCACAATTGAAATATAAGATGAGCCTTGTATAATATGTTTTGATATTATTTATTTTTCATAACGTAGGCTAGTATGACTTTTTGTAATATAAGATGAGCGCAAAGCCTTGTATAATATGTTTTGATATTATTTATATTTCATAACATCTCTAATATGACTTTTTGTGTCTCTGCTCTAATAAATGTAATATTTACTGTGAATATTAACCTCAAGATTACACAAAATCCCTTTTCTAGCTCTTGTTATAGGCATTACTCTCAATCTATCCATCTATTTATCTATGTATATCATATAAATACATCTACTTATCTTGATATATATTTATAAGTATATATTTAAAACTGAAATATATCTGTTTGTATGTATCTTTCCATATTATAATGGAACCACCTATATCTATTCTGTCTGTTTCCTTCAATGCTTAATGTAAATACATATTACATATCTATCTATTTATCTGTATCTTTTAATGTAAAATGTGAATAAATATCTATTTATCTATTTATCTATCTATCTATCTGTCCATCTAAACATCTTACTATAAATCTATCTAGTGAGCTGTGTGTATGAGGCTAGTAAGGAGATGATCTCCTTCTCTGAAGAGAACGAGGTTCTATGGTCTAAACTGTTCCAGGAGTCAAATGCTAAGAAATCCTATAGTTCTACAGGAATATGTCTGTAATTTGTCCTTTCCATCTCCCTTAGTTTTTATCTGGGGTTTTTTAATTTGAAAAATTTATCGCCAGTCTCTCAAGGTTTATAATTTGAAAAATTAATTCCAAGTCTCTTGAAGGAATGGTTTTCCTAGGGGTTTATAATTTGAAAAACGTATTCCCAGTTTTTTGTGGGGGGTGGGGGGGAGTAATTTCGCTGATCTGTTTAAAAAAAACGATCACGAACAGAAAAAATGGGAAGTTAAATTTTTGCTATTAATACGGTCATTTAAATGATAATAAGGTCATATTAATGCTAATTCAGTTTTTGAAATGTTAATACGGTCATGGAAATGTTATTACGGTCATAGAAATGACAATACGGCCATAAAAATTGTAATAAGGTCAAATTAATGTCATAAAATGTTAATTCAGGCAGAAATGTTTTAATACGTTCATGGAAATTTTAATACTTTTGTTGTTAACATCATTTTCTTTAAAATTATACATCACACTGAAGAACACGTACTCAGCCTCTTCTAGTTTCTCTGCATAAATTGTCAGAGGATATTCATTTTTTATTCAGGTTTTTTTGGAATATTTTGAATATTTTCCTAGATTATTTTATAGAACAATAGTGTTGTCGGATAGAAACAAGAATCTCAATGATGAACAGATAAACAACGGGATAACCCTCAAATCAAAACCGATAACGAAGAAAACTCTTTATTTCCTGAAAAAATTATATAAATAATAACATATAAAATGATATAAATAATACCATATAAAATTGTTACAATGAATTTTTATAATGAAAAGATACTTACGATCTATTTTGTGATATAAAAGGGTTAAGTCGTTGGACAGTCCTAAGACGTTTTAAACTTCTGAAAAGAATGACAATTAATTATTAACGAAAGTCACTAATTCTTTATGTGAAAATGTTCTTTGTTTAACTTTTGAAAATGGATGGATTCACAATGTTTAGGTTATTTACACTCCGATGGGAGAACAAAGGAACCGGAGCTTAAAATTATTTGGATTGGATTTTAGTGTCTCCGAGAGGGGGTTCTAAGTTAAAGACGACTTTACACGTATCATAGTTAATGGTTGACAATTCAAATTTCTCAATTTTTTTTGTCATCTAAATATTTGCTTTTTTCTTCGCTTTTTAAAAATGAAGGAAATCCTTTGGGACTAATTTCAGTATATATTGCTAACCAGAGATGAGTGGTTTGATTCAGACAGTTATAAAAAAGAACATTTTCTTTCTGGAAGCTAACTCCTACTTTAAGAAGCTGGATTTTGACGATAAGAGAGAAATCTTAAAGTAAGTTAAGATATTCAGTTGTATATTTGCTTCAATTTTGAAATAAAAAAATGTTTTTATTAAAGTTTCCAGAAAATATATTATTTTCAGTTTAAATCATTAATTGTCTCTAGTTTAGGAAAATAAAATAAATGTTTAATTTTAAATTCAATTTTTTGGAACAGGTGTTTTGATGGTGGTGGGGG